ACATTTTTGTTGTTGTTGTTTTGTGATTTTGGTAGTAAGGAGGGCTTTTGTTTCAGACATTTTTGTTGTTGTTGTTTTGTGATTTTGGTAGTAAGGAGGGCTTTTGTTTCAGACATTTTTGTTGTTGTTGTTTTATGATTTTGGTAGTAAGGAGGGCTTTTGTTTCAGACATTTTTGTTGTTGTTGTTTTGTGATTTTGGTAGTAAGGAGGGCTTTTGTTTCAGACATTTTTGTTGTTGTTGTTGTTTTGTGATTTTGGTAGTAAGGAGGGCTTTTGTTTCAGACATTTTTGTTGTTGTTGTTGTTGTTTTATTGATTGTATGACATTTGTTTCAGAGATATTTTTCGTCCATTTTTTACAATCCATTATGCACAATTTATTCAATTTATTCAATTGACTCTGTTTTGAACGACTTAAAGTCTTGAATAGGCATAAGCCAAACTTGCCACTGGATCAGGATTATATTTTGTCTATTTTTATTAAATCTTTCCCAAACTTACTACCTCTATAAATATTTTGTGTCTTTAATGTGCTTAAAAAGAATGTGTCCATCAAGTTATTTCAATTATTTGGTTGAAGTTTGTGTGTGTAGTGTTAGGCAGATATTACTACCAGTATATACCATACTAACAGTAGCACAGCTGGGTCGGTGGAACCGGAGGCGGGAAAATATTTCATGCCCCCACCCTTTAGTTGTTGTTTTTAATCTAAAAATGCCACAAAGGTTCATACCATTGCTTTAACAGTTTGGTCATAATGACAATTAAAGATGAGTTCAAACAGACGACGTATAAAGATGAGTTTAAACAGACATATAAAGATGAGTTTAAACAGACATATAAAGATGAGTTTAAACAGATATATATAAAGATGAGTTCAAACAGATATTTAAAGATGAGTTTAAACAGACATATAAAGATGAGTTTAAACAGACATATAAAGATGAGTTTAAACAGACATATAAAGATGAGTTTAAACAGATATATATAAAGATGAGTTCAAACAGATATTTAAAGATGAGTTTAAACAGACATATAATTAAACACACATATAAAGATGAGATCAAACAGATATATAAAGATAAATATAAACAGACATATAAAGATGAGTTCAAACAGACATATAAAGATAAATATAAACAGACATATAAAGATGAGTTCAAACATATATACATACATACATACATATATATATATATATATATATATATATATATATATACATATATTATTTATACAGATTAGTTCAAACATGCATATGAAGATGAGTTCAAACAGACGACGTATAAAGATGAGTTCCAACAGACTTATAAAGATGAGTTCAAATAGGTATTTAAAGCAATAAACATAATTCCAAACTGCACATTATCATGGAGATAACGTAATGAATTTCGATTCATTTTTTTCCTCCCGATTAATATTTTCAACAGTTTAATAAAAATCCCTGTCTAGAAATCGTTCACTAATTGTAAGACTTTGATGCTGGCCGAGGATATAGTGTAACAATGAATAATAACATGGTAACAATAATCGACAGGCCTAACTGAATGTTGCAGGACGTTGTCCAAATGAGTGGATCGTGGAGAACTACGTGATCGGAGTTTCACATTGTATGGCATAGAACTCTCAAACAGTACATTGGCACAGAAAAAAAAAGGGTGATTATTTTAATTATAACATTGGAATAAACAAGCTAAAATGAAATAAACAAAATATGCATCGCTCTTGAATTTTAAAAAAAAGGATTTTATTTTAAAATGCACAAAAAATTTTTCGTTTAAAATTCACTAATTGAAAATCAATTATTTGAAAAGCAAGACGGGAAAATTATCAGATTCGCAGATGGCATCATAAAGAAATATTTTCTTTAATCTGAGAGAAGATTTAATTAAAATGTATTACTATAAGACACACACACACACAGACACATAAAACGCGAATTTTCAGCCCCAAAAGTACCGCCCGGGGTGTTTGCACCCCTCGCCACCCCACGCACCAGGCTCGCCACCCCACGCCCCAGGCTCGCCACCCCACGCCCAAGGCTCGC